GGGGGGGGGGGGCAGGGGAGGCTGGGGTGCCCTGAGGGAACGCGGGCGTTGGAAGGATCATACCTGGGTTGGAAGCCCGCCTGCCACCTAGGTCGTGGAGTGACCTTGAACGTCTGGTCCCTTAGCCTTAGTCTCAATTTCCTTGTAAGTGGGGATTCTTGCTGGGTAGGATCGTTGTTAGGCTCGTTTCAGATTGTGTGAGATAATGAACGTATCGGTCTCTCGGTAAGAACTCAGGAGAACGCTGAAATTGCTGTCACTAGCTACACAGCTCCCAGAATGCTCCTCCTGCTTCTGGTAGGAGTGTGGTGCAAGAGTTGGGTAGAGTGTGTTTATCAAAAACATTGCATCGGTGGCGTGAGGAATTTGGTTCCTTCTTGGTGCAGCTGTCTGGCTTTGCCTCCCATCCTGCTCACAATCCCTTTGTAGGTTTTCCAGGGCAGCCCTGTGGATCGGGACAACTTCCTTCATGATCCTGGTTCTTCCTGTTGTCTTTGAGACTGAGAAGTTGCAAATGGAGCAACAGCAGCAACTGCAGCAGCGGCAGGTGAGCTCAGACGACACCTGAGTAGACCAGCAGTTAGTGTGTGGGTAGAGCGTGCGATCTGGCCCATGTTTTAGGTTCTTGATTGTGCGGCCAGCATTGCTTTTGTAGACGGTCTGCCCCCATTACATAGGAGGAAAAATGAGATCCCCAGGTTGCATGGCGCCTTACATCTTTCCTTTCTGTTCCAGATACTCCTAGGGCCTAACACAGGGCTGTCAGGAGGAATGCCAGGGGCTCTACCTTCACTTCCTGGAAAGATCTAGATTGTTACTGCTCTATTTGACCTGTCTTGGTGGGAGAAGTTTGAAAATTCAATACTGTTTGAACTGATTTTTTTCTTCTTTTTGGCACAAAAAATAAATCTGGTTGGGAAAATGTCCCGTTCGTTGTCTCATGGAGACTCCCAACTTGCAGCTGTGTCCTCCAAGCTTTCCTGGCTGACTTCTCTCCTCACTGAACCAGAGTGCATCGATGCAGATGGTCACTCCAACTCCGGCCATCCCCTCACTAAATCACTCCTCACCAGGTCTCCTCAGTGTCTGCTTGTGGAGTAGGAACTGATGCCACTGGAAAGGATGTACCCGACCATTAACGACGGTTTTGTTCTGACATGCACTCTATGAAATACAAAATGCATTACAGCTGTAGTGTGAAAGCAGCCACTGTGAATTTGTATGTTGGAAACGAGGGAGGGCCAGCAGCAGTTTTAACCACAGGATGGGTACTGTGGAGGGCAGAGCAGGAGCTCATGTCCTATGTGCATTTTGGCCATTCGACCTGTGTGTCTAAAAGAGAAAAAAAAGTCAGTGCTCACTTTTGTAATTAAATATTTAAAATGATTCCAGCCAAGTGTCAAGCATGTGTTTCTGGATATGCACCTCAAAACTTAGACCATTTTAGAAGGACGAAGACATGAACTGCCCCAAAGCATAACATATCTCTAAAAGATGACTTGTGATTTTAGTGAATTCCTTCTAAAGCAGCATCATACATTTACCTTTTTCCCCTTTATGTACATAATTACAGAATTTAGGCAGACATGAGATTTATGTATGGAGTTTTCCACTTTTAATATTTGGTTAAACAAAATACATCTTCTGTAAACAAACCCAGCACAAGGCCAACAAAAACAGGGGTAGGGGAAGATAAAAGCAAGAAAAACAAAAAGCCTAGGGTCACCCCTTATGGGCATCAGGGTCAGGCCTGCTCCCTTCCTTAAAGGAAAAAGGGCTTTTTGCCCTTAGGCATCAGCATGGGTCCCTGTTCCCAAGCACCAGAATTGGATATGAACAGAGAAACCAGCCCTGAAATGTAAGTGTCTTTGCATATCCCATTGGCTCGTGGACTCCAAATACACGGGGACTTCTTTGAAGTGCCACTTGCACAGGCCCGAGCACACTGGAGAGGTTTCCTCCTCTTCTGAGGAAATGGCTTACTATCACTGACAGTGCCAATGGACCCAAGCTCCTGCTTACGACAATCAGCAAGGCTGGCTGGAACTTCTGGCTGGTGGTGGCTGGAATGTCATTGTGCAGGGATAAAGAGCTGTCTGTGGAGCCAAGCATGTCTGATGTAGAAAATGGTGCAAGATTGCAGTCAGTTGCTCAGACTGTAACGCAGTAGCTGCTTGGTGGCCTCTGTTACTCAGCATAAAAAACGGCCTTGTTGGATTGAAGATAAATGTGCAGAAAAAGTGCTGGTGTAAACATGCACTCCAGTCACAGTGGGGAGGAGAGAGCCTCAGCTTCATCCTGTTTCACTTGCTCAGGTCTGACATGCAAGCCCCAGGCTGGCTTTGCTGCTGGAGAAGTCTGGCTAGTGGAGCAGCTCTCGGGCCTGCCAAGACCACTGATCTGAAAGGCCTGGACGGGCCATCCCTGCCTGCCCGTCTGCCTTGAGGCAATACAACCACATTGGAGACAAGCAGTGCTTCGCCTCCTCTCATGTTTTCCAAAGTTAGGAGAAAAGTGGCCTACAACTATTTAAAGAGGTAGGGGTGGATCAATTCTTAATTGATTTGTAAAGAAAACTATAGAAAGATGACAGACCCAAGTCCTCTAACATAATACACATAACCACCTAACTTGAGGACTCTGCTCACTATAGTGACTCCCAGCCCAGGACTTTCGATTCTAGCTCTTCTCTTCACAATACTTTCCTCACCCAACTGTTTTAAACTAGTGGAATTTGATGTCGAAGGCAGGCTCATTTTTTCCTGATTTGGTCAGAGTGGGCCAACAGGAAAAACTGCCCTTATGTTTATCTTGTGCCCCAGAGCCTCCTAACTTAATGAAATGGCAGGGACACTGCTGGATGAGGCAGGCAGGTTGCCCACGCCTGCCTGGTTTCGGCCATGTCTTCTTAGGTATCTAGCTCACCCTGTCATGCTAGAATGCTGCAGGATTCAGCCACTCTGAAATAGTTGAGAACTTTTCATTATAAAACGACAAGAATAGCCATAAACCATCCTTAAAAATAGGATAAGGGATGGCATCGAGGGTTGCAGATGGCATGATGTAGTGCTGCTGGGGTTTTCGAGATGGTTCCTGAGAGACCTTTGCTCTGGGTCCTTCAAACCAGTCACACGAGCTTTGCATGTCCTGTGTCTTCAGACCCACTAGTTGCCAGGAAAGGGGAAATGGAGGCAGCATCTCCAGGTAAGTCAGAGCAGCAGTGAACTCCAGCAGAGCTTCTTGTCAAGTCCTCAGAGGAAAGGGAAAAATAAGCTAGGGGATACCCCCCCCTTTTTTCCTTGTCTCTTCAAATAAAACAAGGGTCTTCCATTGCTTGCCCTAAGCACAGAGTTCCTACCTTCCTTCCTTTCCCAGGAATGAGTAACGTTCGTTGGTTCTTGTAACATTTCACACCTCTGGCCTATTGCACACTGTCAAATCTGAGGGAAAAACCCGATGAGATGTCTGGGGAAGTGGCAAGGGCAGACCCAATGTACAGGGCACAGCACATCACGGAGGATTTAGGGGTCGAGGTGAGGGAAGCTTGGCAGAACTGTTACATATCAGCCCTCCAGCTCTGATGGGCCTCCACCTCTTCTGGTACCACCAGCAGGAGTTCACAGTTCTTTCCTCGCAAATGATGTTTTAGAAATTTCCTATTAGGGGAGAAATACGTGAAAGAGAGAATGAGATGCTGTTAAAATGGCAAATTCCAGTCTTGGGGCCATATGTTCACCAGTAACCTCATCAATTTATACCTCTGACAATTCTAAAAAACACTCCCATGGTGATCTGCTCTTGGTGGGTTCCACTTTTGGTTACCCCTCAATCTGTCTAGTTAAGATTTCCAATATGAATTTCTGCTCCTATTATTGCTTAAAGTAGCTAGCTCTGTGACAGAGCCAGCCGAAAGTACTCTCAGTCTAAAGCAAAGGACTTCTAATTGTGTGTGTGTGTGTGTGTGGGGGGGGGACGCGTTTCTTCTTTGGGACGTTTAGTCTCTGCCCTGAATGTCTTCCTTCCTCTGAACTGGCAGCTATACTGTCACAGCCAAGTGTAGACAAATTACAAGGCCAGTCCTGCCAGACCAGAAGATCAGTATCCCAGGAGCTGGACTATCAAAGATTCAGGTCTTTCAAATCAGACCTTATGATTCTAAGTGAGGCAGGGAGAGGTCCAAGAAGCCAGGGATTTCAGGTCCTTTGCCAAATAATGAAAGAGGAGCTATAGGAGCCCACCCAGCACAACAGCCACCACGGCACCTGAGCTCGCTCTCGCCTCCAATCCACTCGGGCGTCTTCAGCTTGGAGTCCAGGTTGTAGTAGGCACCGCCCACCTCCCGAACACAGATCCAGTGCTGCCTTTTGAGAGGCAACTTCAGTGGACCCCAGCTCAGGCTGGAGGGCAGATTCATGATGAAGCCCATGACGTTAGTGAGAGCAATGGCACTGACGTCCCTGCAGAAGAGGAACGGTGTCAGGTTCCCTGGCTGTCACACAACTGGCCGCCTACCTCCCCACGCATCCCCTGCGTGCCAGTTCTCATCAAGTCAAGCCTGGTTCAGATTACCTGCGCTTGTCCCACCAAACAGCTTCATAGCCTTTGGTCTGAAGTGCTGCCATAATGACGTTCACATCGTAGTTCCCATTTCCCAGCATGCTCTTCTTGTGGGGGGTCACCATGGTGTTTGGAGACAACCTACAGATGTGAAAGGAGGACTGAGACTTGTTGATCTGCTTAAGGCCTCCTGAGCTTGCACTACCAGAGACAGCACTTTAGGCCACTGTCCCCAGAAGTTTGTTTGCCCCATTCAAGTAAACTAACCAAGCTTCCAACCAGGTATTCTGCCGTCTGGGCTCTTACTGTCCAAGGATTACTTCTTTTTTAATGTAAAATAATAATAATTCACGACTGGCTGGTGTGGCTCAGTGGTTGAGTGTCAACCTATAAACCAGGAGGTCACCGTTTGATTTCCGGTCAGGACACATGCCCGGGGTTGCTGGGCTCCATACCTAGTGGAGGGCGTACAGGAGGCAGCCGATCAATGATTCTCTCTCATCACTAATGTTTTTAACTCTCTCTCTCTCTCCCCCTCTCTGGAATCAACAAAAATATAATAATAATAGTAATAATAATTCAGCAGTGATGGAGCCTCTTTGCCTGTCATTCAGAAAGTGTGTCAATGGACACAAAGAGTGTTCCATGAAGGCGTCTCGTTTATTCCCAGCCTACCCATTTCTGCCGCCTTTTCCTTGCTGATTTCTCTGCCCTGATATAAGCCAATGGAAAATAGTATTTGATATTTTCATTTGCATGGGTAGTATTTGTTACTGTTTTTTTATATTTAAGTGCTTTCCATTTAAAGCTTACACACTTGATAATCATTAATCATTTAACACTGGGGCCTACAGGAGCCCAGGCAGGTAACATAAATGTGTGAATTGGGGCCAGGTATAAAGCAATAAAATGGAGTAAGGCCTAAATGAAACTGCATGCATGACCCATGTAAAGCATTCCAAATATACATGTGTATGTGTAAAATACTTAAGGATTTTTAAAAATTAAAACACAATCAATTGAAAGAAATTTTTGTGCCAAACAAAACTGCAGTCTGGTTTGCTCACCCAGCTGAAAGACATTTCTGGCCAGGCCTCTTAGCCACTCCTTCCCCTCAAGGCAAGGTCAGTTCTGAAGGCATTTCCAGTCCTATTACTTTGTTTCATAGGCTTGTCAGGCCAGGACCTGAGGAAAGGCCATCTTGAAGGAAAGGGTAGTACGTGTGGAGGAAGGGAAGTGTGGAATAAATGAGCTGTCACCCTGATCAGTGGTGCTCAGTGCTTACAGCGTTGGCCCGAAGAGTCTTGGGTTCGATTCCTGGTCAAGGGCATATACCCGGTTTGCAGCTTTGATCCTGGGGCTATCAGGGCGAGTGCTGGAAGCAACCAAACAATGTGTCTCTCACACTGATGTTTCTCCTTCTCTTTCTCCCCCACTCTCCTCCTCCCTTCCACTCTCTAAAAATCAAGGGGAAAAATATCCTCAGGTGAGGATTAACAACAACAACAAAAAGCAGAGATAGGAGCTGCTAAATGCTATCTCCAAAAGAGAATGGAGACTTTAAGTCAATTCTAAAAACTTAAAAAATCTTATAAAAAGTAAAAAACTTGATGAACAAAAATAGTTAATCAGACACAGAAGCATGGAACAGATCATCTAACGCAGTGGTTCACAACCTTCCTCATGCCGCGACACTTCAATACAGTTCCTCATGTTGTGGTGACCCCCAACCATAAAATTATTTTCGTTGCTACTTCATAACTAATTTTGCTACTGTTATGACTCGTAATGTAAATACCTGATATGCAGGATGTATTTTCATTGTTACAAATTGAACATAATTAAAGCATAGTGATTAATCACAAAAACAATACGTAATTATGTATGTGTTTTCTGATGGTCTTAGGCAACCCCTGTGAAAGGATCGTTCAACCCCCAAAGGGGTCGCGACCCACAGGTTGAGAACCGCTGATCTAACCTCAGAGAAGGCAGGGGAGGGGGAAGGGTAAGAGATCAACCAAAGAACTTGTATGCATGCAAATAAGCATAACCCATGGACACAGACAGTAGGAGGGTGAGGGCATGTGCTGGGGGGTGGGAACGGCAGGGAAGAGGTCAATGGGGGGAAAAGGAGACATATGTAATACTTTAAACAATAAATAATTTAAATAAAAAAAAAAAGTAAAAAACTTCTCTATATACAGCAAACATACCAGATCATTTTTTCAGCATAAAACATATTCCTGCCACTGCTTAAACCCTCTAATGGCTCCCCAAACACTTAAATACAACCTACACTACTTCCTCTGGCCTACAAGGCCCTGGGGTCCTGCTGACCTCATTGCACCTCTTACCACACAGACCTCTGCTACTTGAGCACACCAGCTTTCTCACCTAGGGCCTTCGTACTCAGTGGCTGCCACTATCTGGAATACTCTTCCCCTAGATCAGTGGTTCTCAACCTGTGGGTCGCGACCCCTTTGGGGATCGAACAACCCTTTCACAGGGGTTGCCGAAGAGCATTGGAAAACACATCTACACTAATAAAAGAGAAACATGGTAATTGGCGTATGACCACTACCCTTCCCATTGGCTAATCAGCGAGATATGCAAATTAACTGCCAGCCAGGATGGCGGCTGGCAGCCAGGCAGCTTGAAACTAACATGAGGCTTGCTTGCTTCAGTGATGGAGGCCTCCAACGTTCCCTGCCTAACTTGCCGGCCTCTCTGCAACTCTAAGTAACTATATGGGCTTCAGCCAGCCGGACCACAACATTGTATCAAATACAGGCGGTAAACAAAGGCCAGAAACCTGTTTTCAGCAGCTGAGGCCTCAGAGCTAAAGCTGGCCCAGAATAAAAAAAAAGAAAAAAAAGGAGCGGTTGGGAGCTTCAGTCACCTGCAGCCTGAAAACAGCCCTCAGCCCTTCACCCAGACTGGCCAGGCACCCCAGTGGGGACCCCCACCCTGAAGGGGGTGTGACCAGATGCAAACAGCCATCATCCCCTCACCCACGCTGGCCAGGCACCCCAGTGGGGACCCCCACCCTGATCCAGGACACCCTCCAGGGCAAACCAGCCAGCCCCACCCATGCACCAGGCCTCTATCCTATATAGT